CTTTTGCTTGCCAGTTACTCTCATACACTTTGCCTTTCAAAATAGCCCAAAAGTTTTCGATTGGGCGACACGCCGGTACGGCTGGCGGATTGTCAACTTTTTTGATAAAATTGATGTTATGAGTCTCGTAGCAGCTGGTCACGGTTTTGGCATAATGCGATGAAGCCAGGTCCGGCCAAAATATGTAATTACCATCGGCATGATAAGCGTTGATGAACGGCACTAATCTTTTCCTTATACAATTCATTTCATAGATGGCTTTATTGACTGCAAGGCCGCTGGGTATAAAAAATGGTTTTGAAACACCTTTGTCAGAAGCGGCCAGCCAGACAAGCACCTTGGGTTCGAACTTGCGCTTTTTGCGATATTTAACACTTGGTGGAGTCTTGTCTCTGTTGCTAGAGTAGTAGGTGCTGTTTCCATTAAATGTTGAGTGTGACAGCGTGAAGTAAGACTCATCGTCAAGGATGACCGATTTTCCTTTAAAAACGCGATAAAGACGATCAATGCCAGTTTTGATTCGCTCATTCTGGTTCTCTTGTCGATGAGGTATACCCTGTTTTGTATAACCTTTGATGTCAGTGTACTTGGCAAGAGTTTTATTGATATGTGAATGACTGCATCCAATTTTTCGACCAGCTTGCCTCATCGAAACTCGGTCACTGCTATCAAATATGGCTTTCAGGCGCTTGATCTTCTTAGGGGTCATGATTTTGGCCACACGACCACTTCCTTGCACTCTTTTGTGCCCAGAATCATTCTCAACACGTTTGATTATATCATAGATAGTGCTTCTTGGGATTTTTTCAGCATTGAAGTGAGCTACTGTGAACTTTTTACCTTGCAATTTATTATTCAAATAGAACTCGTAAATCCGTTTTCTTACCTCTTCTTGCTTGGTCATTATTATTTTTTAATTATTATTATCTAAAAAAAAAAAAAATTAATTTATAGAGAATTAAATAAGCTATAAAATGGATATAAACATGAATAAAAAAGATTTAGCTTGTGGCATTTAAAATTCAGTTAAAGTTTGTCCGGATTTTTAGTAACCACCCGTTACAAAAGGAAATCAGGTTTTTTTTATAAATCTTATAAATGTGTCATAACGTAAATCTAAAATAAAAAGTAATGGAATTACATCATAATTACAAAAAAAACACCAAATTTCAAAATAAGTAACTATAAATTGGTAAATCGATTTCATAAAAATTGAAAATCGATTTACCTATTTATAGTTACTTTAATTGCAGTTAATATAAACTTTTATCAAAAATGTAACTATAAAATCTGTTTTGAAGTACAAAAGGATTAACAAAAAAAAAAATCAAACTAAGATTTAAATTGCACTTTTAGCAAATTGTTGTCTTTGTTTTTAGTAAATAAATAAAACCAGTAAATTCCAATAATGAAACTACCTATGATTCATTTTTAACAATAGACGCCAACGGGAAGGTAAGCCAAGCTGTCTATCAACACAAAACATCACAACAGTAACATTACAGCAATAACACATAGCAATAAAATCCAGTGAAAATAACTAAATTAAAATATAAAAGGCAAAATTAAAAAAATATTATAGAGTTATATTTATCTTTTTATTAAACTTTAAATAAGGTATATTTGTTTTTATATTCAACATTAGTTATTCAATTATTTCAAATTTAGGACATTAAAGCACGCTAGATTTAAAGATTTAGGTTGCATACTCTCTCATACACATTACGCTAAACATTAACAGACATTATTATGTGTTTTCAGAATAATTTAAAAAGGATAGACAACACAACCTAGCTCTAAAGCAGTAACACTGCCTAGCATTAAATGCTGCTAAGTCACACCTCTGCTATAAGTACACCTCTAGGCTGGCAAGGTTATCAAACTTGCTCAACATAATACCAAGCCACACCACTTTGAAAACATAGAAACAACTCAATATAAACATATATACAGCTATAAACAAATATGACTTTATATAAGACATATAAGCACATTTTATATTAAATGACAGATATATTTATCAAAAACTATGGGAAAAAAAAATAAATAAATAAAGTTATACATGCTCACAACCTTTAACAGTAAATTTTCGAAATAAAAATCTAAAGATAATTAATTAAGAACAATAGAAAGTAAACACTATTTGTGTTCACTTTTTACCTTGATAGGATGTTTAACAATTGTGAAAAACAAACTATTAAATGCTCTAGTTTTTGAACATGCAACATATAGTTGGCTATGAGAGAAACACGATTTTTGAGATATATCTTTTGTCTATAAGTTTAATTTGGCATTATGTAATATATGGACAATCCCTAAAGTAAAATACTTGAAACTAAAAAGATTTTCTTTATTACAATATTTGAACAACCAAGGGACAACTATAGTTGAACAATTTAAAGAAATATATCTTTAAATAGCAACTCGTAAAATATATCTTATAAATGGTCATTATCAATTGTAGTATTGAAAAATGCACAAGAGCTCAGTAATAACAGGAGTTTTATCAATTCTCCCTGTACTTACTGTCATTTAAGTCTCATCTAAGAGAGAGAGGAAGTGTTTTAAAAGCAGCATGTTAAAAAAAGTAAAAAAGATATGCAATAAAAAACAGTAACTGATTTTATGCTACCAATAAACAAAATTATTTTTACCTGAATTAAAAGTTATTTTCCAGCATTGCTTAATTAAGATTCAGCTTCTCTCTAACTATTGACTAATGATTAATAAAGTAAATTTCACATCATATTAAATTTACAAAATTAAAACCATGTTTCAACAGTAAGCAAAATAATCAAGTGATGACAAAGGCAACTAAAAAAAAAAAAGAACAAAATGTTTAAAAAAAAAAAAAAAATTTAAAATTGAAACTGTTATTAATTGTTACTATAAATAGTAAAATTCATACCTTGCTTTATTCTAAAGTGTCTAATGTAAAATCAAATTAATAGACATCAACACCGCTTGACAATGAATTCTGGCAAGTAAGTTTTCTGTTCATCGAGCAGAATTTCTTACATTTCAACGACAATTAATTTTATAAGGCCTAAATCTATCTCTTTCATTCGACAACAATTTTTTTCAAGTCACCTATTACCATTTACACTAAAAACATCTTCGAGCCTAATATTATACATCTGTTATCATTAAACACATTACCAGTGATTATACTACTGTTACAAATGAATAAATGAACGTAAAATAATTTTACAAATTGTGATCTTTTCTAATCAAAGACTTTTATTTTAAATTAAGATTTATTGATATTCATATATTTTTATAAGTTTATATAAAGAAGTTGTTCATTAAAAATATAAAACAAATTTTTTTTACATTATTTTTAATTTAACAAAGAATTTAGACTACAATGCACAAAGTTATTTTTACCTTCAGACACAATCTTAATGCACAAAAATAATAAATGCAGAACCTTTTTTAAAAAAAGAAGCAATGTCAGTCTAAAGTAATATATGTATGTATGTATGTATGTATGTATGTATGTATGTATATATATATATATATATATATTCAAATTTTTTTTTTCTTTTTTATTTAAGATAATATTTATATAGATAGAGAAATATAAAATATACTGAAATATAGGCACATTTATGTATATAAACTTACCTGTCAAACAAATTACAGTCAGCTTTCCATGTTAAATACATAAAATATATCTAATATAAAATAAACTCAATAAAAAATAAAACAAAGTATTAAACTTACTCAAATCAGTAACAGTTCAACTGTCTAAAAATTTTTATTATTATTAATCCTTCTATTTAAAAAACAAACAAACAATTGATTTGAAGTGACTAAAAAGCACTTCAGCTCTTTCTAATTGTACTAAAAAAAAGAACAAATCTTGCTTCTCTAAGTTGCCTAGTTCTTAAGAATCCGAAAAAGTAAAAAACGAAAAACAAACATTTATTTTTTTAAACTACTCTATTTAAACAAATTAAATTAAACAGATTAATTCTCCTTGAAAGCTGAAAAACTTTTCAGCTCTAATTTACTTGCAGACCTTGCTTGTAAAACCACTTGAATAAGAAAAGCATTTAAAAAAGCCTAGAAACTACTTAAAAAAGGTATATGCAACATTGAACTTTAAATGTTGACTGGACTAATTACCAGCAGATATTTTTAAAAAATTCATAAAAATTTATAATGATTTGTTTTTCTATAACAAATAAATACACCATATGATAAATCTGAAGTTAAAAAATGTAACGAATAAGTAAATACAAACAAAAACATAATACGTGATTTGAAAATCAATGTACCTGATAGAGATAAGCTGTTGTGATACCTGAATTGTAGTTGTTAAATATTTTTATTTCATGATAAACAAAATGTATTTATAGCGAAATGTACTGGTTTTATTTATTTACTAAATGTCTTGAATGACTTTTAGTAAATAAATAAAAGCAGTGAGTCCTAGTAATGAAACTACCTATTAATCATTTTTAAACAACAGACACCAACATAAAGATAAGCCAAAGGTGACAACATTAAGCAAAAAATTATCAAAGATAATGTTATGTATTTTTTAGTATAGTTATATTAAAGGCTAGACAAAACTTAGACCTAAAGCAGTAACATTGCTTGAATGGTAAGGTTGACAAATATTGCTCTACAAGTTTGCCAAGTCACACCACTTTGAAATCAAGGAAACAACATTATAAACATATATACTAACTATAAAACACAATATACTTTTTTAATGTTATATAAAATATAAATATATAAAGAATATTTTTTAATTTTCCTATTCCTAATTATTTTTCTTAAGAGAAAACATACATATAGATATAGAGAAATATAAAATAAACTGAATCATTTTGATTTAAAAAGATCGATTGATGTAAAAAGAATTTAAAAACACATAAATTAAAATAACATTTTAAAAACAAAAATTCCTTACTTATATTAGATATAAATAATAAATAACTGACAATAACATAAAAATTTACTTAAAGTTATTTGGAAATAAGTTTAAAAAAAACAATAACTCAAAAAATATATTATAGACTTAAACCTTATACTAAATAAACAAATAATTTCCTAATCACATAAACTGTTATTATTTTGTAGTAACATCTTTACTTACATTAAGATTCTTTAAACAACACAAGTTTTGGACGTCTTTATACTTAAGTAATAAGTATCCTAAAAAAAAGCCAATAACTTTGTACAGTGATAATATTCCATTGATAGTGCTCAAAAACAGACCATTAGGTTTTATTAGGGCTTACGAATAAAAAGAGAGTGAGAATAAGCCTACATAAAAAAATTTTAAAAAAGCCTTAATTTGAAACTCTTTCTCGTTATCTCCTAATATTGTCCATATAGGTCACACCAAAGGGAGTTTTTTTCTATATTAATGTATTGATCTTATGTAACAATCTTACCTAATAAGTGGTTTAATTGCTCAATTTGCTGATGATACAATTATATACTCCAGTTTTTATAAAAATCATAAATATTTGAACCACTTATTTAAAGTCATCCTTAAATGCCAACACTCTTCTTCATTTCTAGTAACTTCTGCGGTATCTCAAGATTTTATCCTAAATCCTGTTTTGTTTCTAATCTATATTAGTGATCTTCCTGGCAACCTTACATCTAAAGTGGCTTTATTTGCTGGTGACTTAACTTTATACTACTGCCATGACAAAAATTCAATCTTGAATCTGATCTAACCTCTGTAACAGATTGAGGCTTGCATGGCTTGTGAATTTTAACTTCAACCAAACTTAGTTATTTACTACAAATAACTATATTATACAAATAGCAATACTGTTGACATTCCTATATTGATAAATAGCAAGCCCTTCACTGAGTCCTCTTCTCGGATTATCATTCATTTATGACCCTTCATGGAAACCATATATACAATTGATTGCTAAATGCAAATGCAAAAAAAAAAGCAGCTGCTAAAGTTGCTTCTTTTTATCGTGCTTGCCATTTTCTTACTCCCGATTTCATTTCTACCTCTGCTAACCTCTTTTTTGCCCCTATTTGGAATAATGTTGTCATATTTAGACTGGTTCTTCCAATGATGCTCTTATTTCTCAAGATAAGGTCCAAATATGCATTGTAAATGTAGTTGTGTAGTACCTGCTCTATCTGTCAAGCTAGAGCCTCTCTTTCAACGTCGTCAAGTTGCATCTCTATTCTACAAATACTAACATGGTCCCTACTTAAAGGAGCTTTCACCTCTAGTTCCATAAACTCATTTTTGCTTGACTCGTCATTTAGCAAAGTCTCACCTCTTTACTGTATCTGTCCCTGTATGCCATAAAAAATTTTATTTGTTTAGTTTTTTCCCCTTAATTGAACCCTTTGGAACTTTCTCCCGTAATCATGTTTTTCTAACTTATACAGCCTACAAATTTTCAAGTCTTGTGTCAACCGAAATGTAACTCTTTAACACTATTCTTTATTTTCTAATAACTTAACAGTTATTAGAACTTTAAAATAACAAAAATGTGTCAACTCTGAATGTAACAAATACATTATAAACAAATTTAAAATAACAAAAATGTGTCAACTCTGAATGTAACAAATACATTATAAACAAATTTAAAATAACAAAAATGTGTCAACTCTGAATGTAACAAATAAATTATAAACAAATTTAAAATAACAAAAATGTGTCAACTCTGAATGTAACAAATACATTATAAACAAATTTAAAATAACAAAAATGTGTCAACTCTGAATGAAATACATTATAAACTTGTTAAAAGAACACACAAGACTTATTTGGTGTACAACTTATATAATTAGACACCAAAAGCATATGAATACAAATAATTTTATTTGATAGGAAAAACTTTTTATTTGATCTTATTGGACACACATTATTTTGAAATATTTCTTTTAAGGCAATGATCTCTAATCTTCTTTGCATTTTATCAACACTTTTAAGAAGGCCAGAATTGTATAAAAGCTGACATACCAAATAAAGATAGATGGATATCAAAAGGTAGATAGGTGCTAATGGTAGAAAGATATCACAACAAAGTAATACAAAAAAAAAAAATCTTGAAAAATCATCAACGAATTCATCAAAGCTAAATTCTTTAAACTTTTTCTTGAAATCAATTACTGAAATGCCATTGACAACTTTTCTATGCAAACAATTACACTTTTTAACTACAGTGGGTTGCCAAATTATTAGGGACACTTTACTTTTTAAGTAATTTTAAAGTACAAACTACTTTAATGAATAAATATGTATTTTATTGTTATTTTTTTAATTGTTTTTATTGGTAGAGAGTTTTATTTAGAATATAAAACAACATTATTACTTATTCATTGCTATTTATTTTTTTATAAAAAGTTTGAAAACATGACAAATAAGGTAATAATCTTAATATTTTGTAATGCCACCATTGTGCTGGAGACTGAGGTTGCTATTCCACTCTCTTATAAGGGTTTCTATCAATTGCTGCTTGGTAGTGATATTTTTTTTTGGCAATTTTCTGTTTTATGAACTGTCTTAAATTTTCTATAGGGTTAATATCAGGTGAATTCCCTGGCCATGGCAAAACATGCACTTTTTTTTCAGTTAGAAATGCTGTAACACTTCTAGCTTTATGGGACGGTGCTGAGTCATGCATGAACATATACTCTTCATTACCAGGGAACCATTCTTAGACCTGGAGCAGGAGCCTGTTTTCCAGTAATCGCTTGTAGGAAGGAACCATATGGCAGGACCAATCCTGCTTCATGGTTCCTTCCACAATGTTAAGGCAGCCCATACCCTTGGTTGAGATCACAGACCACACCCCTACACTCACAGGATGTTGAACCTTTTCCAAAAGGCAGTCCTAGTGAAATTTTTTTCTGGGCATCGTCGAACAAATGAGCTTTTGTCCATCAAAATTTGAAATGCTGATTGGCCCAAGAAGCAGACCTGTAAAACATTTTAAAGATATTTGACCTGCAAAATATATCAAAGATATTTCAAAAATAAATATTTATCCTTAAATTTTTCTGGTTTCTTACAATATACTAAATTATATTTACTCTACTCCAGTCTTCAATAGTCATATTCTGGTGTTTTCTAGCCCATTCCAGTCGCTTTTTTTTCATGGCTTCAGTTAAACATTCTTTTTTTGGTTGGACGATAGCACACTAAATTCTCTTCAACCAACCGTCCCTGAATCGTCCTTTTGGAGACGTTAATTCCTTCATTGTTTATAATTATAGCTAGTTGAGCCACACTTTTTTTTTTGTTTTTAAGACAGATGTCTATAAATTATGGTCATAACATGGAGTAGTGATCTTTTACTGCCACTTTTGCTGACATGGTCTGGTTCTAGAGTCACATTTGCACCATTTTTTTTTTTAAATTCGACTCACTACTGACTTTGAAACGCTTGCAACCTCTCTCTGAGAATGTGTAGAATGAAGAAGTAAGGTTTTTACTTTTCTGTTTTTTTTTGGGGTTAAGTCTGGAGACTAAAAAAATTAACGAGAGATATTTATTTTATAATATTATATATATATATATATATATATATATATATATATATATATATATATATATATATATATATATATATATATATATATATATATATATAAGAGAATATTTGTATATCAGGGATTTATGCATTGCAAAAAAAATAAATAAATCACTCTACACAGTTTGATCTTGACATCTTATTTAACTGGAAAAAAAAAAAGGCTAATCAGTTTTAATAAAGATAAATGTGAAATCATGCAATTTGATCTAAAATAAAGTACACTTTAATATATATAATGCTACAGAAACAGATATCATTTTATTTTACAATAGTACAAGCTTCCTTCTTCCTACTTCCAATGAGATATTTTATTGATTGCTAGTAAAAATGATTGATAGATCAGTTCTCTTCATTGATACACTTAATAACTTCAGCAGACTGTGAAAATCAGTGGCGAGTTTTAGAGTGAGCATGGGGGTAGTTGCCCCCGCCCCCCATTGGGATTGACTATTATAGGTAATTGACTATTATAGGTAATTATACATATATGAACTTGATTATTACACTAAAGTATAAAAAGTTAAAGAAAGTCACTTTTAAGTGAAAAAATGCGGACCTTTTTTTTTAAAAACCATTTTAGCCACTCCTTGGTGAGTGACAAAACCCACCCCTGGTGAAAATATTGAAGTTTGTATGAACAATATTACATATATTAGGAATAGTACAAGAACATACCGAGTATATAACAAAACCATCAGTAGGAGCAGGCATTTAAATTTAAGGCCTTAAGTAATCTGGATCAAGATACTATATGATATACTATATATACTGAACACAAGAAAGTTTATACATATTTTAAACAATATTAAATCTAAAGTTCCTAAAGAACAGCAATAAAAATAACAATTAAAATTTACTACAACCTTATTGTTGGTTTAAATAAATGGAAACATATTAATATAAATGTTAAAATTTAATAAATGTTATATGACAAAACAAGTTAAATAACATGTTTGAAATAATAAACTAACTTTAAGATGTTTAAAACAGGCAAACAAGAAATGAAAATTAATTTGGATAACTCTTTAATGTTTTTTTTCTTTTAAAATCTATTGTTTAATTTTATCTACACAAAAAAGAAAAAAGAAATCTTACATCTCTAGTAAAATGACCAGTATGAGAACTTTTTGAAGGAAAGCAAACTGGAAACACTCTTTCCCTTACTACTTTATTCTTGACAAAGCATCTTTAATACGGTTTGAGAATTGCACTCTTCTAAATTTAGTATCCTCAGCAATCTAAAACAAAGTTTATTTTAAAAAGAATTAGCATAAATTAATTGGTTATATTTTAAGTTGATGCATGTATGTCTTGAATAATTAATATAGGACTGATTTAAATCTCATTTCAATAATATAAATTAAACAAACAATGAAATAAAACCTTAAAACTTGGGAACTTTTAAATTTTTTAAATTTTTATTTGAAAACTACAGTTAAATTTCTTGGTGACCAAGAAATTTAAATATAGCATATAGCTTTTTGAAAAACTGTGATCTGATACCTATTAAGAAAATTAGACAAAAGAACAAAAATAAAAGGTTTAGACATATAATCATTAAATACAGGAGCTATTTTAGAAACAACTTGATAAAGAAAAACATATTATAATAATAAATGAATTTTATAAAATTCTTTAGAAGAGGCTTTTCTATCATTCCCGTGCATACAATCAAGCACTTTACATCCTAAAACCATAAAGGGAGTACCATTAAATGATATTGAATCATCTTATTTTGTGGTGTTTTGCAGAAGAATCTTTAAAGATAACAACAACAACAAAAATTTTAAATAATAACTATACAAATATAAAAGAAAATTAAAATTTAGCAATTGCATTTTAAAAACACTTAATTAAAATTGTCATACCATATTTCCAGTTTTTAGCAGCACTAATAGTGCTGCTAAAGGAAAGGAAAGAAGGAAGTTGAGTTACTGTAGAAACATACGTTGAAGTACTTTTTTTGATACATAGCTACGAAACAGAGGCTGTATCAAAGTTTTCATGGCATGAAAACTTTGATACACTATAGCATGAATCATGCTATAGTGCCACTAAAGCATGAAAACTTTGATACAGCCTCTGTTTCGTAGCTATGTATCAAAAAAAGTACTTCAACGTATGTTTCTACAGTAACCCAACTTCCTTCTTGAGAAATAACAACTAAAAAAATTTAAACAGTAACAACCATACAAACGTGGAAATTGATAGTTCATTTAAAGCGTGCTTGTAGAGGAAATTCCTTTTTAGACAAAATATTTTAAATTATGAATATAAAAAGCTTATATTATATTACTCGTTTAAAAACATTCGGAATGTTTTTAAATTTTTAAATTTCTCAGGGATGTCATTCCTGAGAAATGTTTTTAAACGAGTAGTAAAACAAACATCAACTTAAGCTTTTTATATTCAAAATTTAAAATATTTTGTCTAAAAAAGTTAAAATGTCTTGTATTACCTCTACTCAATGTTTTTTTTTCTAATAAATTTAAATTATTATTATCTATAATAATAATAATTTTTTTACCAATTTAAATTTAATCTTCGGTGAAAACGTGCTCCACATTTAAAGAATATTAATTATTTCATAAATTAAATTATAAATGCAAAAATTAATTATGTTAACTCTGTCCTGGACGTGAGGCGGGACAATTGCGGAACATTTTACGGGACCTAACTTTACGCTATGGAATCATGTACTTACCTTGAAATAATGTTAACGTTTTTAATTCCATTTCTGCGCGCGCATAAATTTTATATTGTATTTTTTGTCAACAATGATTGAAACAATGACGTTGAAATAACGTTAAATAATCAACGTTTAAACTGTAACGTTGATTTAACGTTGAAATAACGTTAAATAATCAACGTTTAAACGGTAACGTTGATTTAACGTTGTGACTTCGTTGAACAACGTTGAAACAACGTAATGATGCCGGCTGGGTTATGTCTTCTACTTGCTCTTGTCATTCTTTATATTTTGATTTATTTTATTAAACTTGGAAACGAGAATATTGTAAAATGCTTATATATGACGATTTTAAAAGTTTAAAAGTTTTTCGTATTTTCTTACGCATGCGTACCTAAACATAGCGCTTTTTACTAATTTCTAAACGACCGTGAAAAAAAATACCAAAAAACAGCAAAAACAGGTTTCACGCCGGCCAATATTGTGGGCAGGGAACAAAACAACCCTAGTTGAAATTTTTATATGGTGTTTACAAAAAGTAGAAGAGTGTTTTAAGTTGAACAGAATTTTTTTTTACAAATATAAATTCAGGCATTTTGAAGTCAAAGTTCTATATTCAATAATATAGTAATAAAGCATAGATTTGAAGACATTGTCAATTTTCATTAGAAAAACGTGTATTTATGTCCAACATCAACGCGTCAAGTAGAGGAATGTAAATTGAATCGTGAAGGTATATTTTCACGACATGTCTGTCGTTGTACTATTCTTTTGTAGGTAAAACTACCATTTTTTTCAGTTATTGTTTTTTCTGCGGCTCTAAAAATTTCCTTAAACATTTCTTCGCAGTTTTCTATTTTATGTTTTAAAACAATTAACAGGTCTTTAATATAGTTTTTTGTTTTATGTAAATCTAAATTTTTTTTTGAAACAACTGACTGAGCCCATTTGTTAAGGAAAATACATGTACTGCACAGCCTAAAGATACAATAAAATCACTTTCTCTAATTGATAATAATAAAATTCTTGCTTTTATTGAAGATGTTCTGTCATTCCATTTAGATATATTGTCCAGTGCATCAATTATTTGTGGAAGCTCAACACTAAACATCAGCAAAGCATCATGTCTCTCAACCCATCGTGTTTCGCAGAGTGAAAACAGTCGTGAATTTAGCATTTTTTTAATAATAAAATTTCGTTTGGCAGAAGCATTGAAAAAAGCAACAACTTCGCTAATAACCCTTAAACAATTTCTTATTGCTTGAACGATGGAACTCTTAGATAAAGTTAAATTTAAAGCATGATTATAACATGGACACCAAACAGCATTTGACGCAACTTGTTGAATTTCAACTACCTCTCCTTTTTGTAATGACAGCATAACACTACAACCATCTGTTCCCACACCGACACATTTTTCTAAAGAAAGGCGTAACTTTTTTTTTCAACATGTTTATAACAGAATAATCAATGGCTGATTTGATGATTTTGATCATGCAAATCAACAAATCCAACAAAATCTTCTCAAACTGATCCATCAGCCATCAAATTGCGTAGTATTGTTGTCATTTATGACTGATGTGATGGATCAGTTGTTTCGTCAAACATAATAGCATAATAATTTGATTCTCTAACACGACTCACTATTTGTTCACATATTTCTTCTCCACAGCATTCAATTAAAGCATTTTGGGTAGTTTTGCTAATGTATGTTGCAGAAGCTCTAGCTGTTTTCAAATGGTTTTCTAAATTTAAATTGCCACAGTTTACTCTAAATTTTAGCAACTCTCGAAAATTATAGTTTTTAAAAAAATACCTTCCTGCTTCAACAGCTTCCTTGTGATATGTTGCTTTTTCGTGAATTGTTAGATCTCTGTCCTTGCCAAACAGTTTAGCAAACACCTGTAATGGTTGCTTAACTAGCTTCTGAAGTGCAACTTGTTTGTGAGATCCTGCAGTCCGATGGTGTGAAAATAAGAATTTGCAGTATAGTCCCTGTTTTCTATCTGAATATACTAATCATTCGTATTTTTTCAAATGAGAATGATTAAGATATCGCTTTTCTCGCTTATTTTTTTTAATGTGAACTGAATGCGGCATTTTGTAGTCAGTTTTTTTTTTTTTTTTTTGTTTTTTTTTAAGTTGACTAAGGTGCCCCAAGAAGTCCTTACGGTCTTATCACAGAGCACCGTGGAAGAGCATTTAATGGGAAGTTCACGCCTCCTTCCCAACCGATGTCGCAAAACTTGCCCAGAGGTGGGGTTTGAACCACGGATTTTACGTTTTTGAGGCAAGTGCGCTACCACTGCGCCAAGGCTGTATGTATGTATGAAAAGTTGATGGTTTCCATGGCAATTCTAACAGGTTTTTTATAGTTATATCATCAATAGTTGTACCGACAAAGTTTCCAATGTCATTAATAAACCCAGCATTTGAAATCTGACTTAAACATTTTTTGTGAATGCAAAGTCAGATAGAGGCTCACTTAAAATCTGTTCATTTTCTGAAACAGGCATAACTATGCCAAGTGAGATATCACTCCTTTTCTGCCTTTCTCCATCTATGTCTTTGTCTTGTAGTAACTTCTCATGTTCAACATGTTGAATAGCAATATTAATAGTAGTAGTAAAACTTGTTGAAAGTATTTCTTTCTTCGATGCTGTAAAGAATGGATCTAAACTACTCTGCAGCCGAAATGAATTAGTTCTCTTCATTGCGTCTCGAAAAAATAATAATAACTATGGCAACAATCTTTAACTTTTTGCTTTTTTTTATTGTAAACTGAAATTAAACTAATATTACAAAACTACTGATTTTGAAAATAACTTTTTTTTACTATTTAGTTTAAGTGTCGTTTGTGTCAAAAACATTTGATCAAAAACTTTACTTAATCATTCAATATACTCAAATTAATTGCTGTTACCTGCTAAATAAAAAGCACTGGTTTCTAATAAAACATCTGTTACATTAATTTAACAGGTTTGTATTACGTAAATTATTCTTTCAAAATTATGAAAAAAAAAGGAAGATTAACTGAGATAATTGGAGAGATAATTATTTAAAAGAATTTTAGAGAAGCAATCCCTAAAGTTCAGTTTATTATGTTACTTTGAATATATTAGAAGCAAGGGTTACTAATATCAAATTAATAATAAAATATTATATGCGTCATTAAAAGTAAAATAATGAAAAAAATGTTGTAATGTTTTATTTTCAAAAATAGAAACCATAATAAGTAATTAAATAAAAAAAAATTAGAATTTAGAAATTCCTATAAATTCTTTTTCGCTTTTTTACTATTTAAAAGTGACTCAATTAGGTTCTACCGCGCAAATTTTAAACCGGACTACTAACCAATATACAACGCCATTTCATAGTTACACTGGTTAAAGTAGTTTATTTAGAATTAAAGAATAAAATTAAAAGTAATATGTATAAGTAATAGTAATATGTATAAGTATAAGAGTATGATAGAAAAAGAATATAAAAAAAAATTCAAACGAATAATATATAAAAAAATTGGTGAGGTTGCTGAAAAATTGCCCCCTTGCTTGATGGTCTGGATCCGCCCCTGGCTGCGACTAGCTATAACTTAGACTTAAAATCGATTTTGAAATTTCAAGATTTTTTCTTGCATTCTTACTTTACAATGCATTGTGACGTTGTCTGGAAATTTGAAGTTTTTATGATATTAAAGACTAATTAGTTAATAATTGCAGCGATTTGATTAAAAAATTGTAATGTTAAAAACTTTAAAAAGCCTTAAGCATAAAAAATTAACGTAGAAACTGTAAGAAAAGTGAAGTTAGACACTTGCATATACTGTAAGGGTTAAAAAATATTTAAACTATTAGTCATTAACATCTTTCATATAGACTTTTAGTGAACTACATTAACTATATTTTATATTAGTAATATTAAATATTCATTTAAAACTTAGAATTTATTTTTAATTGCTCAAGGTTATAATTTTATTTCTATTTTACAAATTAGTGCACATAATAATTTCGCATAAATCAAATGGTAAAAATAATATAAATAAAATTAGTCAGTGTATTCAAAGTCAGCATAAAAATAAAATGGTAAATCAGTGTTTTCATTTTCAGATGATTCAATAATGTCATTGTGCTCATTTAAATTTCTTATTTTATTTATGTTTATTGGCTTTAGTTCCTCATTTCCAAATATGAAACATATTGTTTGGAAACAGCAAATATTTTTGTTCAAGAGTTTTACATGTCAGCCTCAGTGCTCATGGTTTTACATGTCAGCCTCAGTGCACAAACTACTCATTCATAGTAGTCTGACAATATCTAGATTTATGCTACCAATTGGAATGTACTCTGAAGAAGCAATTGAAGCTCAGAATAAAGATAATAAAAATATTTGTTTACAACACACTCGTAAATTTGATCGAAAAGCTACAATGATAGACCAATTTAATTATTTCATGTTTTTGAGTGACCCAATTCTTTCATCTTTAAACTATGCAAGATCAAAATGTAATATAAAAAAATGAATCTAGATGGAGACGCAGTTGATCTTCTTTTTCAAGAAACTGAAAAGAAAAATACAAATGATGCTAATGGCGATATTTATGCGGATAAAGAATATAATGAGTTGGATTAAAATGATGTTTTTGATGATAGAAATGAGGAACTAAATCCAATAAACATAAATGAAATAAGAAATTTAAATGAGCACAATGACATTATTGAATTATCTGAAAATGAAAACACTGACTATGTGCATTTTTTTATTCAAATTAATGACAGATAGAATAATGTATAGCCTGTATATTAAATCATTCTTGACTCCTGTTATTAGCGAAAACTCTGCTTGCTGACGAAAGGCACGA